GAAAATACAACTTTGGTAAGGGGGAAGGCAAGGCTAAAACCCGCAAAGGTTCACAATTTTAGTATCAATTTTATTGGAATCTGAATTGTACAGTTTTATAATACTCAAAGTAAATGCATACAGCGTTTTGAGTTATAAGCTTAAGATGACTGTTACAAAATAAAACTGAATACCATAAACCTTTAAAGCACAGGGATCACGTTAGTATGAATACTTGTTTCCTACTTCAGTCCATAATGCAAATGTGCATTGTGTATACACAAACTAGTATCTAGCATTCACCTTAGAAGTCTTAGCAGCCATACATTTTCTAGAGTTAAGTACTTACTATTTTAAGTCTGGAAAAGAATCTTCAAACTAGATCATTTATGCCATGTCATTTAAACATGTTTAATTCTCTCCTAAAAAGATGATAACTAAAAACACAACACCAATAAATTCTTATTTTCACTTTCTAAACAGGGTACAAACTTTTGTAAACAAAAACCTTCAGATGATACTATGTAAAGACTCCCTTACAGCTTAATATGCAGGGTAATAGTGTCTATAGATTTTAATTTGTGGTAAAACTCAGGTCCAATATCATGACTTGTAAATCTAAGATTGCTATTTTAAAAAGGTCTTTTGCTACAAATATCCTAAAACACAATAGTTCCTGTGGTGAGAGAGTAAAGATTAGCTTATCTTCCAGTTAAAAAAGGCATCCTTCTATACATCACCTAAAATTGCATTCTACTAAGAACTTTCCAACTATCCCATCCAATCCAAAACACAGAGGGAAAGTATACTTAAAAAACAAGAAAATCCTGTTTTCTTGTTTTCACCTTGTCTACATTTTTAAAAAAATACATGAATATGGAGTATAAGGGTAAGAAAAAACATCTCAACTTAAATTGAGGTTTAAATTTAATAAGGGTTGCAAACTCCCTGGAGTGGGGGTTCTGTTCGTTGTCTCCCCATACACCCTCAGGACCTCCAACAGCATACGCCATGTACTAGGTGGGGCCCAAGACATACTTGCTAAATTAACGAGGAAGTCAAATGATAGAAAATGCTCAAGAAAAAAAGACTGGACACTGCTACTGAATAATCATTCTACAACCTGTTTTCAACGGAAAGATTTATGTAACATTTCCTAAGTCATTAAGCAATTCAACAAATGTTCACTGAACCTATCATTTCTTAGGCTTTTCTAAAATACTCTAAGTACTAAAAACACGTTAATGAGGAAAATAAGTCAACTCTCTCCCATACCATTTTCTCTTATCAGATGGTCCTTAAGAACTTAGCATGTACCAGACACCACAGTAAGGAAGTTACACTAACTTTATTAGTAGTTCTTTACAACAACCCATGAATTTAGCACAGAATACTATTTTACTGCTAATAAACAAAGAACACAGAAGAGTTAGGCAACACTGCCCAAGGTCACACAGCTACTAAGTGGAAAACAAAAAGATCTTGATATTCTGTGTAGGTGACACCCACACAATA